CATCAACGCTATTTTCGCTTGAAACATGCGGATATCTTTGTGTGAGATATATGAAAAGATCCTTTATCACCCCTAACAAATTTGCCTTCTGCCTTTAAATTTGATGTTAATGACTTTCTCTGCTTTAAATGACAATGTAATCAATATATGTCTCTTTGAAATAAAACTCATTCCGAGTATGTACTTACAATGTTTACTAATGCAAACTTGTTCTCGTCCCTATATGGCTGGAAAATGCCGATTTGACGCAAAGCCCAACTCCTTCAACTCAAGGTTAGTATAATAAAAACTTTAAAATGATATTAAAGATAAAATTACGTTTTTGTCTAACATAGTCGAAAATGACTGAGACCGGGGTACGACCCTCAATATTGTCGTGCACCTCGCTGTTGCAGTAGCAATAGCAGATCTATAACTGCCTACATCAATATGAAGAGTACACCTTAAGGTGTATGCCGCCGTGGTCAAGAAGTGAGGGTGACTGAACCGAAGATGGAATGTCGGAGGTCACCAGAAGACGTCAAAAAGATGTGACTTGCTGTGCCCCTGCCAGACGCTCCACAAGCACTGGCCATCCTGATGTAATTATAAACATTTTGAGGTTTCCCTGATGTACTGCGGAATGGAAGGTCTAGTAGGCTCGCATAGTTTGTCCCTCACAGGTAAACACACACACACACACACACACACACACACACACACACACACACACACACACACACACACGCACGCACGCACGCACACACGCACGCACGCACGCACGCACGCACGCACACACATACACACACACACAGAACACAACACCTTGCGTCTTTTTACTTGTCCTTTAACAGTCTAAACACACATTCTTTAAATGTGAAACCCCTGCGTCAAACCCAAATTAAACGTCAATCAATACCTCACAAATTATAAATAGCACATCATGAACAATGAACGACCTAATCAAAATTAATTGATATTGTAACGAAGTCGTACACATTTGTGGCTGTTGGTTGCTTCCAAATATACTTACATTGAGCAACAGGGCTCCAAAACGTCATCAACACCAGCACCTGCAACATTTCACTCGTCGACGTGCTCCGCCAGCAGTGGTACAGAATGAATCAGCATGGAGCTTGAAACTCCTATGTAACAACTGTACCAGGGATGTACATCGCATTCCAAGCTTAGGGCTGACGTCATGTTTCCGTCCTTGTAGCCTAGACACGCGGCATCCGTATTATCTGTGTTGCTGCTATTAGCAGATATCAAGAACAGAGCATTGTGGCAAAGTGAGTGAACGTAATGAAATGTTTACCGACCAATACAAGGTCAATTAATTTGGAATGTACTTGGACACAGGAAAGTCTACTTCTATTTCTTCACAAGTGGACTAGTAATATGACGTGGTGCTGATGTGGATTAACTAAAATATCTAGATTGAGTGGTTTTAACACCACTTTGGAGAGTATTTCAGTTCTATCACGGTGTGTCAGCTTGATGTGGGAGGAGGAGTGAATGAGTTGGGTTTAGCACCACCTTGAACAGAATTTCAGTTCTATAACGGTGTGCCAGCTTGATGTCGGAGGAGTGAGTGAGTGAGTTGGCTTTAACATCACTTTGAACAATATTTCAGTTATATCACGGTGTGTTAGCTTGATTTGGGAGAGAGTGAGTGAGCGAGTTGGGTTTAGCACCACACTTTGAACAGAATTTCAGTTATATCACGGTGTGTCCGTTTGATGTGGGGGAGTGAGTGAGTGAGTTTGGTTTAACACCACTTTGAACAGTATTTCAGTTATATCACACTGTGTCAGCTTGATGTGAGAGGAGTGAGTGAGTGGGTTTAACACCACTTTGAACACTATTTCAGTTATATCACGGTGTGTCAGCTTGATGTGGGGGAGGAGTGAGTGAGTTGGGTTTAACACCATTTTGAACAGTATTTCAGTTATGTCACACTGTGTCAGCTTGATGTGGGAAGAGTGAGGAGTGAGTTTGGTTTAACATCACTTTAAACAATATTCAGTTATATCACGGTGTGTCGACTTGATGTGGGAGGAGTGAGAGGGTTGTGTTTAACACCACTTTGAACAGTATTTCAGTTATATCACGGTGTGTCAGCTTGATGTGGGAAGAGGAGTGAGTGAGTTGGGTTTAACACCACTTTGAATACTATATCAGTTATATCACGGTGTGTCAGCTTGATGTGGGGGTATTTCAGAGTGAGTGAGTGGGGAAGGTTTAACACCATTTTGAACAGTATTTCAGTTATATCACGGTGTGTTAGCTTGATTTGGGAAGAGGGAGTGAGTGAGTTGGGTTTAGCACCACTGTGAACAGAATTTCAGTTATATCACAGTGTGTCCGTTTGATGTGGGGAGAGTGAGTGAGTGAGTTTGGTTTAACACCCACTTTGAACAGTATTTCAGTTATGTCACACTGTGTCAGCTTGATGTGGGAAGAGTGAGTGAGTGAGTTAGGTTTAACATCACTTTAAACAGTATTTCAGTTATATCACGGTGTTTCAGCTTGATGTGGGAGGAGTGAGTGAGTGTTGTTCGGTTTAACACCACTTTGAACAATATGTCAGTTATATCACGGTGTTTCAGCTTGATGTGGGAGGAGGAGTGAGTGAGTTAGGTTTAAAACCACTGTGAACAGTATGTCAGTTATATCACACTGTGTCATCTTGATGTGAGAGGAGTGAGGAGTGGGTTTAACACCACTTTGAATACTATATCAGTTATATCACGGTGTGTCAGCTTGATTGTGGGGAGTGAGTGAGTGAGTTGGGTTTAACATCACTTTGAACAGTATTTCAGTTATATCACGGTGTGTCAGCTTGATGTCGGAGGAGTGAGTGAGTGCATTCGGTTTTAACACCACTTTGAACAGTATTTCAGTTATATCAACCCGTGTTTGCTTGATTTGGGAGGAGTTGAGTGAGTGAGTTGGGTTTAGCACCACTTTGAACAGAATTTCAGTTATATCACGGTGTGTCCGTTTGATGTGGGAGGGGTGATTGAGTGAGTTTGGTTTAACACCACTTTAAACAGTATTTCAGTTATATCACGGTGTTTCCAGCTTGATGTGGGAGGAGGATGAGTGAGTTAGTTGGGTTTAAAACCACTGTGAACAGTATGTGAGTTATATCACAGTGTTTCAGCTTGATGTGGGAGGAGGAGTGATTGAGTTAGTTGGGTTTAAAACCACTTTAAACAGTATTTCAGTTATATCACGGTGTGTCAGCTTGATGTGGGAGGAGGAGTGAGTGAGTGAATTCGGTTTAACACCACTTTGAACAGTATTTCAGTTATATCACAGTGTGTCAGCTTGATGTGGGAAGAGTGATTGAGTGCGTTGTGTTTAGCACCACTTTGAACAGTATTTCAGTTATATCACAGTGTGTCAGCTTGATGTGGGAAGAGTGAGTGAGTGAGTTGGGTTTAGCACCACTTTGAACAGTATTTCAGTTATATCACGGTGTGTCAGGTTGATGTAGGAGGAGTGAGTGAGTTGGGTTTAACACCACTTTGAACAGTATTTCAGTTATATCACGGTGTGTCAGGTTGATGTAGGATGAGTGAGTGAGTTGGGTTTAACACCACTTTGAAGAGTATTTATGCTATATCTAATACACTTTACGTTCATTGAGTTTACTTTATTAATGTTTACCTCATGACCATGTGAAATCACAGAATGTTTGACAGATATGAAGACATGTGTTTGTCCGTGAAGTTATAACAGGTTGATCTGGGTCTATCATATCACGGCGTGTTAGCTCAGTTGGGAAGAAGAAATAGGAAGATCGGCAACGCTTGTCACTTGAGGAATCTCCGAGGTACCATCATTGCGTCATCGCCTGTTGTTTGTGATAGATAAAGCAGCCATGGTCAGACTAATGAAGGACTGAAGGAGTGCTCCAAGATTCTTGACACATCCACAGAGCAGCATTCACCGGAACGACTACATACAGTCATATACTGCTGCGTCATGGCTGTCTCGAAGTACAGGCCTGGTCCATTGTTATGCAACTTCTTGCTATTTAAGAAGACAAATATCACTAATGCACCTTCCTGTTGTAACTTCTCAATGTGTGTCGGTGTGTGTGTTTCCGTCTCTCCCGAAACCGAAATCTATGTAAATGGTTTCTCATTAATGCAATTAGTTCTTTGACAATAGACAATGCCTCCCCCTCCCTCTCTTGAATGAAGGCAAAATGTCAAATATCAACTGATTTACTAACTACGAACACTGACAATGATATGTAATAAGAATGTGTCTCTATACACCCCACCTCTCTCTCTCCTCTCTCTCTCTCTCTCTCTCTCTCTCTCTCTCTCTCTCTCTCTCTCTCTCTCCTCTCTCTCTCTCTCTCTCTCTCTCTCTCTCTCTCTCTCTCTCTCTCCCTCTCTCCCCCTCTCCTCCTCTCTCCCCTCTCTCTCTCTCTCTCTCTCTCTCTCCCTCTCCTCTCTCTCTCTCTCTCCTCTCTCTCCTGTCGTTTTCTCTCCCTGTCTCTACACCTCTCCTCCTCTCCTCCTCTCTCTCTCTCTCCTCTCTCTCCTCTCTCTCTCCCTCTCTCTCCCTCTCCCTCTCTCTCTCCTCTCTCCTCTCCTCCCTCCCTCTCTCTCTCTCTCTCCTCTCTCTCTCCCTCTCTCTCTCTCTCTCCCTCTCTCTCTCTCTCTCTCTCTCTCTCTCTCTCTCTCTCTCTCTCACTGTCGTTATTAACGAATCTGTAAGTCGCACATCCTTTCATAAACACCCGAACATAAAGTGATTCAAAGACATTTGTTGGTGATATAGTCAGATTCAAAGAGACACTCGTTCTGTACCAGGCGGAATACCATGCAAATGATCATCGCCTGGCGTTGCCGGATAGGATGCATAGGTTGTGTTTCTGGAATATTCCGCCTGGTGGCCCGCCTGGTGGCCCGCCTTGTGTACAGCTCTACCAGTGACGTCATGTCCAGCTGACCAGCAACCACTGTCCTCTCCGTAGGTAACAACATTAGACAAGGTGCCATGCAGCTTTATGTGTGTGTTAAACAGCACTATCTTCCACGACAGAGTAATACATGTTAGTATTTGAGGACGGTGACGCTGGTGATGCTGCCGATGTTGATGACGTTGGCTGGTTGTTGATGTTGATGTTTACGTAGGCGGTCTGGACAGGGGTCAAAGAGCAGTATGCATTTTCCTCAACGTTCACATCTGAAAATAAAAGATATCGTTTAGTCCTGGGATCGATCATTTAATATCCAGTCAGTAATAACAGACACTGCTCTTCTCTGAAGGACTGAGTGTCTGTTTTTAGTTTTACGCCGCACTCGGCAATATTCAGGCTATATGGCCGTTGTCTGTAAATAATCGAGTCTGGACCAGACAATTAAGTGATCAACAGCATGAGCATCGATCCATGCAATTGGGATACGATGATATGTGTCAACCGCTGCCATCCAGGGAGTCTGACCACGAGATTCCGTTAGTCGCCTCTTAAATTACGACAAGCATGGGTTACTGAAGACCAATTCTAACCCGGATCGTTACGGGTAAGCGGCAGCAGAGGTTACTGGGGACCTGTTCTATCTCACTGTCCCAAACTGTTTGACGAACCCAGTAACAGTCCTCGACCCGGACATCAAACTGAGTACACATTTATATATCCCCTGTTATCCCAATACAATGGTCCATTCCTTACCTCTTGTGGTAGTTTCGTAGTTACCCTCAGTGTCCGTGTTGGCCAAGGTCAAGGTCTGGGTCTGACACTTACACTTTGTCCCTGAAACGTACATGCATGTGATGTACAATGGAGCGTGTTGTTGTCACCAGCTCAGTCGTGCCTGTCTGGTTTACCTACTGGGTATAATAGTCAAGTTCCCCACTTTTCTACAATGCATACTCTTAAAAAATCAATGTTCTTTCGAAATAACTTACACATTCAGAAACTGTGAGAGATATTATTTTCTAGCAGTGGTATTGTTCAGGCATCAGGGGCATAGCTGCCATATAGGCAAAAAGGCAATTACCTACACATAATTTTGTGAAAAAAAATGAATTAAATGAAATGATGAATTTGAGAAAAAATGTTACAGGTGAATTTATTTCAACATGCTGGAAGCATGAATATGTACGTATAATAATTGCATTCTAAACTTTTCCTACACATAATAATTGGCTCAGATACGCCCCTGTGCATACAGGAATTAGTCAGATATTCCTACCTGTTTTATTGACCACTTGTCGTAAAAGCAAAAACATATAATTACTATTTTGTGATCTCTCCATTTAACTACTGCTACTACTACTACGACTACTACACCTACTACTATTAGTCCGACTGTCTGTTATTACAGCTACGTATAATCCTGCTACTAATACCACATCAGCTACTACTATTTGTCGTTGTAACATACTTACATCCAACCACCACTGCCGTGTACAGTGCCGCTGTGAGGAGCACTGACGTCACACACCCGATGATCACAACATAGACAGGCACGCCTGAAGGGTTCGCTGTGAATATAGATAAAACACGAGTTAGACTGCCAGCTGATGAAACAGGTATAAGCCACGTGTTACATACTGATGCAAATGACATTGTTCAAAACAAGCTCGCTTTACCCAGCACTGAATGGGTACCCGGTAGGATTTGATCGTTATGTGACTGTTAAACTCCAGTACCACACTGATCCATTGAACGGGGTATGTAACAAGTTTAACATGTTGATCTGACACGTAATATAGATGTTTATACAGTACAGAAGGAATATTGCTACTTGCTTTCAGCGGGCAGATCATCTGACTGCGGGCGAGAAGTAGACACAGGAGATGAACCTGGAACACACATATCAACACATTGCATTAAGAACATGGCGATGTCCACGTTTTAATCATTTCAAAATTTTAATTTGAGAAAGAATAGAGGCCTGTCTGAAGATTTAAGTACGTGACAAATCAATTCCTGTCCGCCTAATTATGTTATTGTCTGTCTCATTGCCATTCGTCATGTCCCCACTCCTCTCTTTCACAATGTCTCTCCGTCTCTCCGTGTCACTGCCAGTCGCCATGTCTCCCAACCTCTACTTCAGAATGTCTCTCCGTCTCACTGCCAGCCGCCATGTCTCCCAACCTCTACTTCAGAATGTCTCTCCGTCTCTCCGTCTCACTGCCAGTCGTCATATTTCCCCTTCTCTACTTGTCTCTCCGTCTCTCCGTCTCATTACCATTCGTCATGTCTCCCAACCTCTACTTCACAATGTCTCTCCGTCTCTCCATATCACTGCCAGTCGTCATATCTCCCCTTCTCTACTTGACAATGTCTCTCCGTCTCACTGCCAGTCGTCATGTCTCCCAACCTCTACTTCACAATGTCTCTCCGTCTCACTGCCAGTCGTCATGTCTCCCAACCTCTACTTCACAATGTCTCTCCGTCTCACTGCCAGTCGTCATGTCTCCCAACCTCTACTTCACAATGTCTCTCCGTCTCACTGCCAGTCGTCATGTCTCCCAACCTCTACTTCAGAATGCCTCTCCGTCTCACTGCCAGCCGCTTATGTCTCCCAACCTCTACTTCAGAATGTCTCTCCGTCTCTCCGTCTCACTGCCAGTCGTCATATTTCCCCTTCTCTACTTGTCTCTCCGTCTCTCCGTCTCATTACCATTCGTCATGTCTCCCAACCTCTACTTCACAATGTCTCTCCGTCTCTCCATATCACTGCCAGTCGTCATATCTCCCCTTCTCTACTTGACAATGTCTCTCCGTCTCACTGCCAGTCGTCATGTCTCCCAACCTCTACTTCACAATGTCTCTCCGTCTCACTGTCAGTCGTCATGTCTCCCAACCTCTACTTCACAATGTCTCTCCGTCTCACTGCCAGTCGTCATGTCTCCCAACCTCTACTTCACGATGTCTCTCCGTCTCACTGCCAGTCGTCATGTCTCCCAACCTCTACTTCACAATGTCTCTCCGTCTCACTGCCAGTCGTCATGTCTCCCAACCTCTACTTCACAATGTCTCTCCGTCTCACTGCCAGTCGTCATGTCTCCCAACCTCTAGTTCACAATGTCTCTCCGTCTCACTGCCAGTCGTGGGGTCTGTAACCCTGTCTGTATCATTATCTTCGTGTCGTCCACTTGCCCGACGACAACACCACAATGTGCCACTCGTTTTGAGTACCTTCATAAGCCTCTTCAAACCGAGTCGGATATGGGCGAAACGTACTCACCGGAACACTGCACATCCTTTTCGTCTTCTTCGTCTGGAAGGATGTCCACAGTTTTAGATCCACAGTCATCTGCAATCCTAATATTAATCACACCATTTCCTCTCAAGCAGGCCCCCACATAAACGTGACACCATGTCCAAGTAAACACAACAGACAGAGAATGTATTGTTCGTGAATTAAGAGGACCATGTGTTCCAGGAACATCGTAAACGCCTTTGTGTCAAGCATCTGGTTTACTGTAAATGTCTTTGTTTCCTTTCCTTTTATTGGTTCCCGTGATTACAATATCACAAATATGCAAAGCCGTGATGTATAAGGTCACGCCTGGAGTTTGTGTACAGTGTTTATCAGCATTCATTCTGCCATGACCTTGAAGGGTCCTATATTACGATCGACGGAATAAAGAGGCGCACCGATCTCAGTATCGTGTCACACGTTTCGTTGAGTCAGACATGGGTGAGATTGATGTCTTTGTGTGCTGGCGATTAGATGCCTGACACCGAGAATGTGGGTACGAATCACGACCTAACCAAAGTACTAGAATCTGTACTTCACTGAGAAAGTGTAATTCTAAATATGTTACATTTGGTCACTGTCGGAATTATGTATTCATAGTATTTCAGCTGTTTGTCATTTGCATATGTAAACGCCAACATGGACCAGACCATCAAGTGATTAATGTTGCTGGTAACGTCCTACGCGACCGGATGACACAGCAATCACCGAAGGCGACCACCCGATCAACATTCTGACCTTTCACGACCAGCGTTTCCTTTCGAGGTCCAATTTGTACGGGAGTGGTAAGTAAGCTGCAATAACAATGATACTAACACTGACATGTGACAGGGAACATGAAGGTAAATCATACTCACCCATTTTCACCTGAATCTGTTTCCCATGACAATGTGAGTAACTCGTGTTGATATTGCACACATAGGTTGTGACGTCATCACAAGTCGGACTCGGAATGAGTACTTTCATTTTGATGGGGTATACTCCGGAAACGAAAATCTTGCTGTTTACAGACGCAGACTTGCGGCGTCGCACGGTTGCTACGGTAATCGGTCCAGATGACGTCCTCTTCTGAATGTACATGACGCCACCGTCGTACCTGTGCAGCAGCGACTTTGTTGTCAGCCCTTCACACTGTATGACGAGCTGGCGATATTGTCCAGGAACACCCACTGTGTGGAAGGATGCTCTTTTGATGCAGTCTGCAATTATATTGATGGATAAATAGACGGATGGATGGACGGATTGATTGATGGATGGATGGATGGGCGGAGAGTGGATAAATGGTTGGATGGATGGAGTGGATGGATGGATGGATTGACGGAGGGAGGATGAATGTTGGACAGACTGATGGATGGAGTGGATGGATGAATAGACGGATGGATGGACGGATTGATGGATGGATGGATGGATGGGCGGAGAGTGGATAAATGGTTGGATGGATGGAGTGGATGGATAGATGGACGGAGGGAGGATGAATGTTGGACAGACTGATGGATGGAGTGGATGGATGAATGGATGGATGAATGGACGGAGAGTGGATGAATGGTTGGACAGACTGATAGATGGAGTGGATGGATGGATGGATGAATGGACGGAGAGTGGATGAATGATTGGATGGATGGAGTGGATGGATGGATGGACGGAGGGAGGGTGAATGGTTGGACGGACTGATGGATGGAGTGGATGGATGGATGGACGGAGGGAGGGTGGGAGGAAAGAAGGAAGGGAGGGAGGGAGGCAGGGTTGAATGACGGACGGACGGGCGGTTGACTGGATGGTTTGATTGAAAGTGACTGTTTGACTGAGCGAGTGAATAAGTGGTGTATTACGTCTTTAAGTTGTAAATTAAGAAATCGTTCGCTGGAAATGCAAGATGTTGTAAGGAAAGTATAGTGAAGAGAAACAACATGGTTGAACTCAGATAAGAATAGCGTAAATATCCAGAATATTACTGTATCACTGTAACTCTCATGTATATGGGCCGGAGGCCTTTCATACATTACACATCGTTTGACTTTGACTGGTTTGACACTTCTGATACTGAGATTGGAACCCACAATCACACTGTTATCGTAATATATGGGGGCCTCTATACACAGAACTGGACACGTGGGTTCGGCCATCAGTCATGAACAACAGAAATCAACCACAGCCCGACCAGTTTACTCTTCTCGTACATGATGTACATGTAGGGTTCGAGTGACGTCGAGCTGGACACTTAGCGTTTTTGTTCTGAAGACACCGGACGTCTGATAGATCGTCTAGATCTACATGATATTAGGTGATTTAGGACCTTGCTGTCGGACGAACTATACTGATGCCACTTAACATGAATTGATGAAGTCTCTTCCCAGAAGGGCTGTATCCTCCCTAGGGTCTAGGAGTTGTCTGTCATTCGTGGTTGCCCTTAACGTCGTTAGATTACTGATGTTATCTGGCTGTCGGCTCATAGTCGATGGATGTTTCTTAACAGCTCTCAATGGCGTACCAACATTCCGAATAACTTGCCATATGTCAGCTGATGTCAGTTGCACAGGAGGTAAGCCCTGGCCATGGTCAACCGGAAGTTGGCCGTCATCAAAAACAATTTCCCCGATCTGATGCTTTTCCATAAAGACACATTTTGGATAAGGTTGAAAACACATTTAATCGCACATATGGCCCAGGTATCTTTAATGAGGTCCTTGCTAACATTTCAGAATATTTCAGTGGCTTTGCCTTAAATGTTTGCGTCGATGGAAAAAGAGAAACGTCGGACTAAAAATGTCATTCAATACACAGCTACATGCTTGAACAAATGATATGGGGGTTTTAATCCATGACCATTCAGCTTATAAGACGGGTCGATTTCATAAACATTAACTAACTTGGAAATATCGAAATCTTACAAAATTTGGACCTCAGTCTCTACCGGGATCTGCTGTCAATCTGGAAATGGTAGTTGATGACGACCAACTTCCGGTTGAGCATGGGCAGGGCTTACCCCCTGTGAGCTGAGGAAGTAGCTTATCAAAAGCGAAATCAATTGATTTTCCAAGTTATCAAGCTGCAAATGTACCAACCTTGATATTTGCTTCATGACAGCTACACATAAGGCCCGTGATAATCGCCTTTGATCGTAACACGTGCATATCTGTAATTAACACAGATGCTGGGGGTTATAATGGTTGAACGAACAAACATAATCTTGATAGGAATATAACTTGCTATATTGGGATTAAAAATCACGAGTTGCGATTCTTTTTGCATGTATGAATGTGTCAAGTACATCTTTACACCCCACACAGTGCTACGACCACGACTAATTAATATTTTAAGCACCGCTAATCAGCAAATCCAGATAGAACTAAGAGACATAACTCCCAACGCAGCTAAGGCCTATGAAAGCCCTATGTAAGCCGGTCTTCCAGGTGTACAACCCCGAGGGAAATCCGAGCAAGGATATATACCAAGCTCCATGCTTGTTGTATGAGGCGATAGTGACCTCTTTCAATGCCTACCAGCGTACCTGACGACGCTGATCGTTGTTCATTGTATCTGTCATTGGTTTGTCTAGCCGGACTCTGTTATTTGCAGGTTGCCGGGATACAGGAATAATAATAATATTATTAATTTATTTTATAGCGCCTAGTATCCGTCTGTCTGGTTGCTCACTGGACGCTGTAATCAGAATACTATTATTATTACTCCGAATAACCCAAGCTGCCTGTGAGGCGCTAGAGGGTCCCATCGGGTACCCATTTTCTGCCGAATATCAATTACCAAAACGAAAAAGCGTACTTACTCCCGTAGCGTCCGAACACTGGCCAAACCAAAATTGAACTTAAAAGAAACAGCAGCACGGTGTTGTCCCTCATCGTGTCGACTGTGGGGTGACTGTCAGTGCTACACTGACTCATGTCCAGCTGATCTGCTGACACATTCACCTCACATCCGATCATCTCTCAAGGGGATTTCCGCTGATGTCTCAGTCGTGTCGTGCAGTCTAACAATGACAGTCACAGCGTACCCCCTTAGCCGTAGGACACAACATTTTCAGCAAATGTCAACAGACTGAATGTTGTTTGACGGTAGAAATATTCAGTTTATTTCATCACTAACTGAAGTATATGTCAGGGTACAAGTATGGGGACTTGTGTCTTACAACTCGGGTACACTGAAAGTTCATCGCGATGGTGCGGGTTACAATTAGTCTTCATCAACGAATGAATGTAGGTTGTCGTGAGAGGTGACTAACAGGGCTGAGGGGCGGTGGGTAGCCTAGTGATTAAAGCGTCCGTTCGTCACACCAAAGACCCGGGTTCGATTCCCTACATGGGTACAATGGAGCCAATATTTTGGATCCTCGTCGTGATTTCGCTATAGGTGGCGTAACACTTAACTCACGCACTCACTAGCAGAATCACGTGTTCGGTCTTGCTGACTCGGTCGATGCATGTCATCGTAGATAGACCCTCTTCATGTCAATCACTGGATTGTCTGGTCCACATTCGATCATGTTCATGTAGCCGGCATACAGCTTGAATATCTGACTTAAACAACAAGTAACAATTGAAATGTGTGAAGCGTATTGGCAGTTCAAACTTGTTTACTGAGGGCCTTATAAAGAAATCTAATAATCGAACGCGAGGGTCCGCGTTAGAATGAACTTTCAGTAACCCATGCTTGTCGTAAGAGGCGACCAACGGGATTGGGTGATCAGGCTCGCTGGCTTGGTTGCACACATGTCATCGTATCCCAATTGCGCAGATCGATGCTCATGCTGTTGATCACTGGATGGTCTAGTCCAAACTCGATTATTTACACACCGCCGCCATATAGCTGGAATATTGCTGAGTGCGGCGTAAAACTAAACTCACTCACGCACCTGTTGAAACACTTGTGAATACATTCAAATCAATTTCGCCAAGAAGGTATATAGCCTAGTCGTCGATAGCTCCACCATTCACTATGTAGTGTTGTGTTCCTGAGAGGCGCCCCAGATACGGGGATCGTGGGTTCGAATCCCGGGTGGGCATGATCCCATATCTTGGTTTGTCAGGACCATACCCGTTCTTGTGAGTTTCATCTGAAGTGGAAAACCGCTTGGGTTGTCTTTACCACATTACTGACTGACTGAGTTTAGTTTTACGCCGCTTTAAGCAATATTCCAGCAATATCACGGCGGGGGACACCAGAAATGGGTCTCACACATTGTGCCCATGTGGGGAATCGAATCCAGGTTTTCGGCGTGACGAGCCAACGCTTTAACCATTAGGATGCTCCACGGCCCCTTACTCCATTAAGCTGACCCGCCGTCATACACCTGGATTTCAGTTAAATGTGGCGTTTTACTCCTCACAATATTGAGGGGCGGTGGGGTAGTCTAGTGGTTAAAGCGTTGGCTCGTCACGCCGAAGACACGGGTTCGAATCCCCACATTGGTACAATGAGTGAAGCCAATTTCTGATGTTCCCCGCCGTGATATTGTTGGAATATTGCTAAAAGCGGCGTAAAACCAAACTCAGTCAGTCACAATATTGCTATGCAATATCAAATGAAATATTTATATAGGGCCCGTAAGTAGGTCACGACACGTCGTGAGACCCTAGAGCTCCCGATGACAAACAACGTACACTTGGTCCGGTCTAGTAAAGTCATATTTGGCGGTCGCGAAAATTGGAACTAGAACTGGTTCTTGAATAAACGCTTGTCACCGGAAATCTGGTACCGGAATTAAGGTGTGTCCCGTCTCGCATATCGCAAGTTGGCTCGCGCAAAGGGAGCCGGGAACCAGCCATGAACCGGTATACAGTAACCGGACATAAACTACATCATCGGACATAATGACTCGGCTGTGAAGCTGTGAGAACTAATAATATTGCGTTGTTAATACAACTCGTATACACTGGGACTGTAGTGGAGTGGATACAGGGTTTTCCTGCAGAGCTGACTGTCGTGGTTTGATCCGCGGTGCCGTCATACCAAGCGTTAATGAATGACACCTGTACTTGACACTAGAAGGGCGGGGGTAGCCCATTAGTTAAAGCGTTCACTCGTCACGCCGAAGACCCGGGTTCGATTACCCACAAGGGTACAATGTGTGAAGCCCATTTCTACTGTCCCCCACGTGATATTGCTGGAATATTCCTAGAAGCGACGTAAAACCTTACCCGCATTTGGCACTAATCCATAGGGGTATATAAGCAGGACTGGCCTGCTCACTGAGTGCATCACAGGGCTTCCTAGTAACACTGAGGCCAGGTATCTCATTGAGCTACCAGTAGAAGACGGTCTTAGTTGGGTCTACTGCAAGCAGCACTGCACACACGTGCATGTCACCGTGTGAGTGAAACCGTCCCCAGCACCACTTTTGAGAGCGCGGAATGTCCTGGTAACTCTCTATTTCTTGAAAGTAAAAGGGCTTGTAGAGTGATGGCGAGTTACGAGGATATTCCCCTACTAAGATTATATTTTATGTGACTCTTTATATCTTGATACATTTCCTACACCCCAATGCAAGCACTTCAAAATTATCGAGAAAGCGTATATAAATGTTTATAAAAGTAATATTTGTTTTTAACGGCCCCTCATTAAGTGACCCACTTTTGTCCGTACCAACTTACCGTGCACACAGCATGTAACATGTGCACTGGAACAACTTTCCACGCCTTATTAATAATAGGATATAAACAATAGAATGACGTCACAAATGTAATTTAAGCCCTATTCCAACGTGATGTTTACGAATCGAGGCCTATGGAAGGGACACAACTCCTTATACCTCAAGGCGAGACAGCATTTTGTCGCCGCGCAGCAGGTGGGGGGACAATTTCTAAAATTGAACGAAACGTTCGTAAAATCTCCTATAAATTCCACCCATCGAACGATTCGTTGCACGTTGAATCTTCAGGATGCAGTCAATTGGTTCTGTACCTGCTTTCAGAAGTGTCACAGCGGGGATTGGTTGTCCTCAGAAACACTATGATCGTGTATCCAAATAACTGATTCAACCACCGTCCGTTTCATTTCATTTGAGACCGATGAATTGCTCACACAAAATCGAATACTTGCAACAAAACTAAATTTTGCACCGTCACATGAAATCGACAGACCAACTCTGACTATTTGTCTCATAATTTTGTGCAACCGAATAAAAATTTATTTAACAAACAATATTTATTTTGTCACTTTTCGCTATTTTGTACGAGGGGGGGAACCACTTGCTAAAACTGACTGACTGACTGAGTTTGGTTTTACGCCCCTTTTAGCAATATTCCAGCAACATCACGACGAATGACACCAGAAATGGGCTTCACACAATGTACCCATGTGGGGATTCGAACCCGTGTCTTCGGCGTGACGAGCCAACGCTTTAACCATTAGGATACCCCACCGCCCCACTTGCTAAGATAACAGCTACGTGTGCTGGCTGTTCTACCAGCATTTCATCGGTCTCAAATGAAATCAAATGGATTGTAAATAGGTATGGATCATGAAAATCGTAAGGATATTTTATTGTAGTGAACAGTGTCTGTTGATGTAACGGTATACGAATATTTCAAGATGCCCAAGATACTTTTTTCATTACACCACCATCACTACTCTCTTGATATAAAAAGACTGCGAGTCCACTAAACGACATGTTGACCCCTTTTCTCCTACTTTGTCAGGTGAGAGAATCAATACTGTTTTACGCCGCCTTTTGTAGACATATAACTTTATCACCTTGATACTGTTTAGTCTTAATGTTTTATTAGTATCATCGACGTAGTGAGTGGATGCTCACAACACCGATCACCGGATGGTCTGGTCGACGATGTCTTACGTACCTACATACCAGCAGGGGTAGTTGTATGCTAACGTTTGCTGTGGCTAGATGTTGGATCGAATCCTGAGTTAAGCCCGTGGTCTAGCCTGTGAGCACCAGTCCCATGACAATAGGTTTCTACGATCAATGGGCGGTGGGGTAGCCTAATGGTTAAAGCGTTCGCTCGTCATGCTGAAGACCCGGGTTCGATTCCCCACATGGGCAGAATGTGTGAAGCCCATTTCTGGTGTCCCCCGCCGTGATATTGCTGGAATATTGCTAAAAGCGGCGTAAAACCATACTCACTCACTTACTCTACGATCAATACGGTACATAATACAGATTGATACATTGAGATACAGATCGAGCGTTCGATAGTGATACAGAGTACAATGTTGCGATGAAGTGTGTTACATACAGTGAGTGAGTGAGTGAGTGAGTGAGTTTTACTCCGCTTTTAGCAATATTCCATCAATATCACAGCGGGGAACACCAGAAATGGGATTCACACATTGTATCCCTGTGGGGATTCGAACCCGTGTCTATGGCTTGACGAGCGAATGCTTTAACCACTAGGCTACCCAACCGCGCCCCGCGTTACACACAGAGCCTGTTACGCTTCATAAATCAAGGAATGGGAGAGATAGAGAGGAAGCCCAGTTGTTACAGCGCTCACTGGACACACCGAAGGCCTGAGTTCGAGCCCCTAGTGGATGTAATGTGTGAAGCCGATTTCCAGTGCCCCCTGTCCTGGTACTACTAGTATAGTGCTCACAGCGGCGGAAAACGCTATTCACTCCCTCATGGTGTGGGATGCTTCTAGCGTCCTAATTCATTTTCCTTGCAACTATTCATAAGGGTAAATATTCTTATTATCAATAACCTGTAATTAGCAACAGTGCGTATTGTATTTATCTTGTCAACGAAGGCCCATCTTGTCAACGTACGTCCATCTTGTCAACGTACGTCCATCTTGTCAACGTATGGCCATTTTGTCAACGTATGGCCATCTTGTTAACGTATGTCCATCTTGTCATAGATCGACTCTCACAAGCACTGCACAAAAACAAGGGTACGCTACCT